TAATAATTAAACTTTTCCATGATATAAAAAGTTTTTGGAAATGGCCTGTATGAACCAAACAGAATTTCATTTTCTGCAGAGACTAATATTGATCTATAGCACAGCTTCCTGTTCCCATGAATCTTCACTAGACTGTAAAACCAAGGGAACGAGAGGAAGTGTGTGGTCCTGAAGAACGATGATTTGTCTCTACTCAAACTTTTCAGCAGAAATAATCCCCATGCAGCTTTTCAATGGAGCTCTCATCATCTGCAATAACAAGCTGCGATACCCTTCTCTTCACCGGAAATCAGTCCAGCCCAACTTAATTCTAAGTCTCGCTTGTGGCCGTCTTTTTCTGCATCAGTCAGCCTTTTTGGATGGCTGTGTTAGAGACTCGGGAGCCTGTGAAGAGCTGGAATAGACTCGGTGGAGGAGAACAGATCGACTAGTTTTCTCTCTAATGAGCTCTGTCAACAGTTCTACCTGTAAACAAGCGGGGCAGTCAGGGGGAAGGGTCTCCTTCTCCGTCTCTTCAGCAAAACCACATGTCAACGTCTCTTTGCATTCCAGCAAACTCGGCGTCTCGGAAAACAGACTCCGGCTTATCACTTCCCGCCTTCTGTCTGTTTGGTCTTCCTGCTTCATTCTCTCTTGTCTTTAACATAGAGCAGGCTTAAAATCCATTTTGGGGGCATCATGGAAAGTCATTAGTCAATATTTTCTCCGCTGTCTCTCTTCCCACACGTAGGCTGTCACTTGCTGGCTCTGTGCCTCTGCTCGAGAAATTATGAATTATGCCAGCGTCTCGCTCTCCACATGGGGCCCGTGACTGGGAAGCACCAACCGTAGAGCTGCTACTTTGTGCATTACTCCTCTTAAAAGTTCCCTCCAGCCCTGTCAGTCCTGACTTATATGAATCCCGTTTGCCAAATATGTGACTTTTACCGTATTCTGATATATCACCTAATTTGTGTCAGTATTGCACATCTAGTCAGCCATGGTCAGTATGACAACCTAGCAGGAGGCATCTCTTTTCCTGTTGTCTATTATAAGCGATGCAGTGCAGACTGTCCTTCAAGTTTAATTTCAATCCCCCGCTATGCATGGATTGACATTGATACAGTACAATTGTCTTGCCTTTCACTGATCACAACAGATGGGATCTGTTGGACTTCAGGGGAAACTTTTGATTCTTTGAAGCAAGGTTCAGTGAAGCTTTCAGTAGCTGTGGCAGAACACTGATACATTGCAGAGGGAATTTAGAAATGTATAGAAAACCTAGACATGTTAAAAAGTCACTTGTTTAGGCTGTTATTGCAACTGAAAGAGGAACTGTTCACAACTGGGGGATATGGTGCTATCTGAGGCAGCAGATCAGCTGTCATTCAACCAGCAGACAGGTCATTGGTTCAACTCCAGTGTTACACAAAGTCTGTCGAAGTGTCCTTGAGCAAGGCGCTAAACCCCTGGTTGTCCACCTGTTCAGTGAATGGACATGTGACTAGTGGAACTATGGAAGGTTTGGCTAATTTAGAAGAAATTTGACTTTGCGCTTTGACTCTTTGAAATTGGCCTGTGTCTCTTTTAGAAGCACCTAATATTTGCGATACTCTGCCTACAACAGGAAGTAGTTGAAAGATCATGATGCAACATTTTTGATATAAATTATTGCATGAATTAACTTTTTCACATGTGATGTTAATTGTGTTAATTTAACAGAAACACTGCATTTGCAAAATTGTGTGTTTTTGATATTAGCGTATTATTGACAAAGATTTGCGCACATTTGTAATGGAAACGCTGCTGATGATGGATTTATAAGAACTACACAGTCAGGTCACACTTATATAGGTGAGGGTACACTCAAACTTAGCTTCAAGATAGATACGATATCGTGGTTCTTTCTCTGAAGATCTGAAAATCACAGAGCCGTTGAATGCTATATTTTGGAAGATGATTTATTAATTTTCCTTTACAAAAACATTATTGGTGCAACGGAAATAACTTTAAATCTAAACCTGCCACAGGTACGAATAACAATCTGACATAACCGTCTAATGTATGTATGTAAAACTATTACAATAACTTCACAAAAATGCATATGACTTTAAAGTCGGTAGGAAGACAGATTAAAGTATCATTTTTGATAAAGAGAGCATGCATGTGAACAGGAGGACCCAGGGTGGCTGTTAGTCTTTCAGTCCCCAGCACATTGCATAAGACTTGTGTTTAATCCAGCTGTGGGCAGAGGGCCTGGAGGCTGCAGTCGGCTCAGAGAAATCACATGCGACAGGCTCTAAGCCAATGACTCAGATTAAATATGGTGAATGTTTGCCCATCTGGAGCTATATGACAGGGTGACGAACATTTCAAACAGGGGCCCTTGCAGCTTGTGCCATAGAGGATTATCAAATAGAGTCTGCCTCTGTTTTTGTTGATGCATTCAAGTACAATAATGGTGTTGTGAGGATTTTTTAATTTTTTTTAATTTTGTTACACAATGTGGTGGATTGTTCTGATGCCGCGCTCTGTGCGCCTACATGTGCCTTTTAGTATAGGCCAGCTTATTAATGCTAATTCTGGTACAGCTGATTTAGCGTTCCTCTTGTTAGTGCTTAGAACATACAGAACAGTCCTCTGGGGGTCTGCGCTTCTGCCAATTTCTTTAGTCTTCTCTTGGAGCTAAGCAGCGAGGAGGTGGGGGATGCACTGATTTAGGAAGTGTGTCAGCCTTTCCTTACAACTTATGCATAAATAATTCTCTACAATCCATTGATCATTGACTCAAGGCTCGAAATGCATCAAACTATTGATTAAAGGTTTGTTAGGAGACCCTAATTTAAATTCAGGCTATTCTAAAGTGGCTTTTACCATGTGAACATATGTAAGCCAAAGCAAAAGATTCAGACGATATCGACACTTTAACGTCACTAAAGCTATTATCATAGTTAAAGCATTGCTGTTTCTAATCCTCCATGTGAATTCAAAATGTTGGTGTATCATGACAAACTTTGATTGTTATTGCATCACAGAAAAATTTTTATTCAGTGATAAATTATTGTTACTTCAAAAGGTCCTGCCAGGATTCTGGCCTCTCAGGTCGTGAAAGGTGACACAATGAAAGTTGGGTTTAAGCGTCTACTTGTAGTGTCCAGAGAGGGACATTCCCTGGTCTAATGTGTGAAATGACCCCTCTGCTGACCCTCAACCTCCACCCTTCCTGGTTAGAGGTCATCTCCTCTTACTTGGCCTGAACACTTCTCTTTATACTTTCTTTATATGCTTTCTTTATGCCTGACAATATCTTGCTGTTACTCTTCCAGATTGGGAGCCATGTTGATGTTTAAAGGCTGATAAGCTCTTCAGATTCTAGAACACCATTTCTTTCCTTCACCTGTAACAGATTCTAAAAGGGTTCCTCACCATCTTTTTAGGAGAAGTTGTAAAGAGCTGCTGTGTTGTGGGTAACGGTGGATGATGTTGGCAGGAGTATAATTCAGAAACCATTTAACATAAAAAATGTATTCTTCGCCATTCATGCCTTAATTGAGAAAAAGTGATATAATTACGATGCAAACGCGTTCTCATTTTGCTCCCATCAGGATGAATTGCTCCTGTGTTGCTGTTTCGCTTTAAGACGGTCCCACTGAGCCCCAGCCACAGCGGACTGCTGTGCCAAGTTCCTTTGTCTGGAACGAGCCCACAATGGCTCTGGAGGGACATCATTGCTTGCATAGGGTCGAGCAGCAGCTCACAGTTGACCCCTACATGTGATTACAACCAAGTGATGAAGTTGCCTTTAGATTTTCCTTCCAGTGCCTCTTGTATCCAAACTTGTCATCCAGTCGGTGATGTAATTTATGATTTCAGACTCTCAGACATTATCAGCCCAGTTCTACTTATAGACCTACTTTATTGGTTGGGCCAATTAGGTTCCTGAAGAAAACACAGTTGTGGTTGACCTCTGGTTCCTGCAAGTGGAAATTTACTAGTAACCATTTCATCATGCATCATAGTAACCACAGCCAAGTGTTAGGGCTTGACAGTGAACACTTCATCCATTAATTCTTTCTGCATCTGCTCCCACTTATCCTTGTAGGGAAGGCTGGTCAATAAATATAGACACATGCTTAATATTAATAGATAATATATTAGACAGAATTTTCAATAATTTCACTGAACTCTGATTCAGAGCTGCACAGCATTCTGGGATATGTAGACAGATGAAAAGACTTTAGCTACTCATTCTCTCAGGTGGGTGCTATGAAAGGTGGGTGGCATCAACTAACACACTCGTGGGTTACCTAGCAACAGTGTGGTGACCAGCTTGCGCAGCAGCAGTTTCAGGTTTGGCCGTCGTGCTTCATAAATGCTAAAAAGTGAATGAAAGAAATGATTAGAACACACATCACAGTATTTTAGATATTTACAACAAAAACTGATCAACAATTATTAATATTTATCAATACGAAAGGCTTATATAGTGATACATTTTTTCAGCCATATTGCCCTGCCCTACTTGTAGGGCCACTAGGGGCTGGTGCCTACCTCCAATGGTCATTGGGAGAAAAAAAAAGATCACACCCTGAGGAGGCCCTGTATGACAGACACACTCCGAGCAGCAGACAAGCAGCCACACACTCATAACTGTGTTTTCTGTTATCTCCATGCAGAAAGAGTCCAGGACATGGTTCATACCCAGACTGGCCACATGGCCAACCACTGCTCTGTAGTGCACTAACAAACATTGTCAGCAGATGGATAAATCAGACGACCGTCCAGCCTTGGAACAATCTGGGGTCTACAGTCAAATATTTCTCCATCTTACTGTGTCTAAAATCCTGGTTGATCTTACTCTATAAGTGTCCAGAACATCACATCAACTTGACTTTTGCAGGATTTTATAACAAAAACATGAAAAATTTATTTGTTTTTCGAAGCTATTGAATCTAAAGTAAGGTATCCTGTGCATACATAACTGTAATAACTGATTGCCTTTATCTTCTATTTTCGCCCAGGGCTGAAGGTGCGTGAGGTCATGATCAATGTGTCCCGCCAGCAGGTGGAGGACTTCCACGGCCCCGAGGACTACTGGTGTCTCTGTGTGGCCTGGAGCCACCTTGGCACCTCCAAGAGCCGGAAGGCCACGGTCCGCATTGCCTGTGAGTGTGGAGCTCATTCATTACCATCGCCTTTCACAACAACAAACAAAATGATAGGAGAACCTGTTTATCTCTGTAATATGAGACACTTTCAGAAAACATGGAGAATATGCATTATCTGTGACGTTGATAAAGTCTCTTGTAATTATGCTGAGATGAATGTGTGAACAGAGGAATGGTTGACTCCATCCCTTCTGACGTTTAGTAAAATATAGCCTTGAAATGTTCCTCTTGATGTGATCAAGCTCCTTTTAAACTCTCATTTACTCTTCTGTTAATGTAGGAGTCAAATGTAATTCATAAATAACAGGCAGAGTCACAGCCTTTCTTGAAATGTTGCAATATTGGGAAAAAAAAAACTATATCTTTCCACCAATATAAAAATTCTGTATCGTACACTCTGTGTTTTGAAACTCAATATTGCTTGAGCCTTGCTTGATTTCATGACAGAAGAATCAGATTCCCATAGGAACACAGGTTTCCTGCATAATGCAGATCACAACTGTGGAACAGAGAAGGCTGTTTAGTTGATGTCATGTTCTTCATTTGTTGGAAAGAAAAAAAAAAGTAAGATTTTTCAAAACAAATCAAATTGAAATGCTTTGGTTTTTCCTGACATGTTGCTATAATCTCATCTCATACTTGTGAACCCAGAACATGTTCCATCTCGTCCGGTCCCTGAAATAACAGCTGAGACTTCAGCCTGAGAGTAGTTGTGATTCCATTACTGAAAACTTTGTCCGTATTATGGTACTGTAAAGCAAACACAATTTTACAATTGCTGTGTTTTCATAAAATTAGAAAGGTAAGTTTCAGAAGTCATTAAAAAGCATGCTGCGACGCGATCCTCCCTCTACTTCCTGTCGTTTTCTTCTTCGTGGTTTGCGCTGGTGGCAACATCCGGTTGTTGAACATGTGACTCGAATGGAGCGGAAAACATTGTTTCTACTGCAGTTCTGCGAAATAAACCAATTTTGATACGACCAAAATAACCAACTCATCTCAGCACCAAAATATTTAATCAAAAAGTGGCTTTTGGTTTTTAAACTGACGTGTTTCCGTTTAGCAAATTTATCTTTGAAATGTCAAACTGGGCAATTATATGGTCAGTGGAAACACAGCTGTGCAATGTTTTCCTCTGCTTTCCTCATTGATTAGTTACAGAAATGTTAAAATTACTGAGTTCTTCACCACAAAAGGAAAAGTTTGCACAAAGGTGAGGACATGCTGTAAAAACAGGCCAGATTTTTGTCAGGCCATAAAAAACATTTATGGTTGACATGATCCATGGTGTGAAAAGCATCACTGAATGATAATGTGCCTGAAAGGCGTTCTGTGTTGATGGCGGCCAGGTTGTGAGAACACCAACAGTTCAATTAGGTGAAAGATTTTGAAATGATATTTTTAGCTACTTTGTTCCACTGTTGTTATGTTTTGCTCAAGGATTGTGTGCCTGGCATGTTTTCAGACTGGCAATAACGCCATAAAAAAATCTAATCCCTTTCTAACTGGTTTTCATCAAAACTCTCTGACAGTGTTTGTCTTCTAATTGGAAAAGGAGCCTTCTGAACAAGCAGTCACTGCTTTAGTTAGTAAAACCCAATTGAGCTGATTTTTTTTTCTCAACATAAACTGAATTAGGCTGATCAGCATTAAACCCCCAACGTCGCCTGATCAAGTTCGACACAATCAGTCAATCTCTGCCTGTGGCGTCTAAAACCAATACTCCCACTCGAAGATGTCAGAGGTTATCTGAAAGCCCTCCTCCGTATTGAATTTATTGTTTTTACTTACTGGATGCAGAAAAAAAAGAAAATCAAATGCTGTGAACAAAGAAGATGTGTGAAAATCCTTATCTGGCAGGTTTTGCGTGTCATTGTATTTGCACTTATTTGACACATGGTTTCTATGAGTTGAGTTCTGGTTTTGTGACCTCTTAAAACGCAGGACTCTGTTCATAATCTGTCAGGACCGAGAAAAGCAGCCAATTTAAATGTCATGAGAGATTGACTAAAATCCCTCACCAAGTCACCTTGAACAAGGGGGTTTGTCCTGCAAAGCACCATGGGACTGAACCTGTGCTGCATGGTCTTGTAGAACTGAAGTCCAAGCGAACGGTGACACCTGACATCTGCCTCTTATCTCTCCCACACAGATTTGAGGAAAAACTTTGAGCAGGACCCCCAGGGGAAGGAGGTGCCCATCAATGGGATGATCGTTCTGCATTGTCGCCCTCCAGAGGGCGTGCCAGCAGCCGAGGTGAGGCGTCCAGGAAAGATCTGGAGGATGATTCTGTAGCACTTTGACAGGAAATTCAACGTCCTGCGCCGGTTTCCCTTCATGTTGTTTTTCACCAATAAGTTGAGAATCATTTTGAAAAAAGACAAGAAAAAGCGATCTTTCAGAATATTGGATCATATTAATTCAAAGGAAAAACCACAAAACACCTAAAATCAGAAGTTTGATGATATATCAAAACTCAACAAACGTATCGGTATTGGTAATACAGGCCCTGTATTTTCTTGCAGTATCACACATCTCCACCAGTCAGAATGTTCCTTTTAAAAATTGCTCATTTTCCAAAAGATTCTTCATTTTCTAGAATCAGATCTTCATAGTTCATAAAAATAAATACTTCCTACTTCAGCTGTCACGTATTTGAAAAGGAAAACAGTGCTGTGAATTACAGTATGCCGTCTGTAAGTAAAGACACCCAGAGCAATGGGCGCGTTCCAGCAAACCCTCCCTAAATAGAACCAGTGGAAACCACACAGCACAAACTGATTCCACTGTGAGTGACTGGAGACTCATTAGCTCCTCTTTACACCGCTGCTGACAAGGATTATTTCCAAACAGTGGATGCGCTTCCCCCCAACACACACCCAAACCGCAAGCTCACATTCTATTGCGTGTGCACTTTCATGTTGCAGCAGCAGCCGCGCCGCAGCTGAAACCTCACACCGGCTGCGCTCATGGATGCCATCTCAATATTTCATGGAGGAGGTGCGCTGAAATCGACTGGGCCGGTGGAGCGCTGGCTCGCGCTCTTTCCATTATTCACTGCCGTCTCCTGTGACCGCTCTCATTTGTGTTGACAAAGGACTAGATGGGAGATTGTGATTCCTTCAGTTCGGCTCAAGCTCTACTATTTTTACCGCCTCTGCGGGCCACGCTGCAGCTGGAATGACATCAATCCTCCATTTTTCAATGCCGGATCATTCATGTACTGTGAGGGAACCGGCCGAGGCTGACCTCTTCCTAAATCTTCGCCGTGCGCACGACATCTGCACGTGCGTTTCTCACGCTGATTCAGACCGGAACAAAGTGCCTTTGAGTTTCATCGAAACATCAAACAAATTGTAAATGTTTGATTTACTGTCTCTCCTTTCTGGAGAAAGGAGACAGTCAGAGGAAATCGAAAGGAGCTCTGCCAGCAGCAGGCTCTGCTCCTCTATCCTGTTGAACGTTTTACCTCTTTTCCTCTCTGCTTTAAAGTCTCCAAATTTATACGAGCAGGAAATCACAGTGATCTGCTGACAGCTGAGCATCCATGTAAATGATGATTAATATTGAAATCACATAGATGATGTAGTTAAATGACTGGCATGATTCATTTTCTATAGTTTTATCATAATGACACATTTTTCTTAATCCAGTTTAGATTCAATGATTAGTAAATATCTAGCAACTGGTTACTGGGAGTGTATTTGATTTTTTGTGGGAGGTTTGTTGTGCCTTGTTTTGTTGTATCAACCAATCATTAGCTGCATTTCCACTCCAAATGTGTGCACAACTTTTTCAATTATCTGCTAGTGTCAAGAAAACATAATCTTGCAAATAACAAGTGCAATTAAAATCACATGAGCTAAGCCTCAAACCTTATTTTAGATTTTTTAAAGTATCTTTAGCAGGTTGCTGTCACATCTTAGCCTTCATCAGTGTTATGATGTGACTGTGGTTGGAAATGTGACTCTGTTTATGACAGTAAGACAAACCTACCAGTAAGACAAACTTTTTCAATCTGTCTTTAGTTTTAGAGCTACAGTCATTTGACCCTGAAACAACGGATGATTCTCAGCTCTAAACAAACGCGGCCTTTATGCTGATGAGTTTATGTAACCTTTTGTTTGGCATTTTACGGTAAAGACTGATTCTGCTGCTCTTGCACAAAGTTTAGCTCTTAAATATGGCCGCCTTTGCATAAAAAAAGCAACAACACATATACCAGAAGAAACTGTGTTTCTGTTCAAGCTCTCAGGTTTTGTACACCAGCGTTTCAGTATGTGAACCATAAGGACTCCCAGATGGTACAGAATGCAAAGACAGCGAGCGAGAGAGAGAAAAATAGAGAGAGGAAAAGAGAGAGAGAGAAAGAGAGAGGGCCACAACAACATTCAGCAAAACTGTAGAAAAGTCAGCGCTGTGCTTGAAGAAACTTTTCTTGTCGTAGAAAACACCTTTTATGGAGAACCTGCAAAATAATCACATTCACCCAGGCGCCAGTTTTCCACAAATCTGAGGATATTTTTCACATTTGGCATTCGACCAGTGGATGTGGACATAAAACACATCCGTGACTTCAGGAGCGATGAACCGACCTTTACAGGTCAAGTGACTCTGAAACTTGCTTGACAGAAATGATTCCAGTTTCATAGCAGCTTTTTGTTCAAGCATTACTTCAGGTTTTTATTGTTCATAGTCACTTTCACCCGTCTTTCAAACTGAAAACTTGTCTTCAACACTTTTATTTATTCATGGATTTACCTGAGGCACTGCTTCATTCAGCTGAATTTAAGGATCAGGGAAAGAAACACTTTTCCACTTTTTTGCTTCCTAAGTGTCATTTTCTAACTCTACTCTCAGGTTTGCATAAAATGTTTTATTGAGGATCCAGAAGTTTCAGCATGATGAATAATGATGACTACAGGGATTGGTGACTTAAGCACAAGCATAAAAGGATATTGTGTGTGTGCACTCAGTTTCCTTTAAGCTTCTGAAAAGTAACAAAAATTAATATTCGGACATACAAAGTTCACATCTGAATCACGGTGATGATCGCTTCTTACTCAGCCATTCATGATGAAAATGTTAATATACCATTGAGACCCAAACGTTGTTTAGCTGGATGATTCCTTTAGTTTTTCATTTGGAATTTAAACCTATTTGTCCTCAGGCCTAATTTAATATTTAATTATTATTTTTTAACTTTCATCTCTTGAAATAAGTTCTAAACTGTTATACAAACCATTTATTTGTTTTCAGAATAGAAAAAGGATAATTCATGCCAAAAAATATGAATGTACATCAACATTACAAGAAAAAAATACAGACAGGAAGTTTTAGAGTTGCTTAAACTCTCAGACTAATATGAAAATAAATTAAACTTTTCAATTCTAAATGGCAACGTGGTGAGAAATAATGGCTATCGTCATCAATTAAAGTCATTTCATTTGCATTTTTTGCTTATTATGGTTCTTGATTTCACTGCTGTGGTTTCAGATGATGTGCTGACATGGTTACTACATTCATGAGCTTAATGTAGAGGTGGTGTTCGCTTGACATCACTTCTTTCTTCCACAGTAAGCGGCTAAAGCGTCATAGCAGCTCCTCCAGCCGCACTTTTTCACCAGAAGCCATTTTCCATCAAGTGCACGTTTGCACAGATGCCTAACCACATGCAGCTTGTAAAATTTCCCAGGCCACATGTTAATAAAGTTAGGCCCCAACTACTATTTTCTAGCCCATCAATAATAATCCTTATTGGGTATTATCATCAATTTCCACATTAGCCACATGGCTGCGGCGGTTCTGTTGGGTCTGGAAGCCGTCAACGCACCATATGCTTTGTTTAAGACTAAATTAGTTTCTGTAACTCGGTTTCTAATGGAATTATTCATGATGCTGTTATGAATTCGTTTGGCAGTAATAACACTTGATCACACTTTAATGACATATCCAATATGTTCAGCTTGGAGTCCTCGAGCTTGATTGAAATATTCATGGCACAGTTGGAAGTGTTTCATGACAGCTAATGTCAAAATCAGCAACATGACAGTGTGATGTATAGTTAGTGCAAACGGCCTGACTGTGAGCTCCTTTATGATCTCACTCGTTATTTCTGGTGGAAGATTTCTTCTGGCAGGTTAAATGCTCTTTGTTTTTGCTTTTTTATGACTTTATAACAAAATAAATCAACTCTGAAAACAAACGGGTCGTGAAGGTCTCATGTCAGTTTCACTGGACATGTTTTTGATTCAATATTTTAAATCCAGTCATAATAGAGTCAGTGTTAGTTTTATTTTATTTACCTTTGTATTAAGTCTGATTTGAGGGTCGAAAGTTTTATTTGACTTGTTACTTGTAGGTAAATCAACTTTTAGCTCATGTTCATATTGTTGTTTTGAATGAAGAAAAATCTTGATAAATATTTCAGAAGTCATTGGGGTAAAGAAAAAAAATCCTCAATAAAATCTGCCCTTTTTATGCATGAATTTTGATAAGAAATGTCACAACTGCATAAGTGGGGATGAATAAGTTGTGTTCTGTTGTCCCCAGTAGAAAATCAATGGGAAATAATAATAATAATAATAAAGTTGCCATAACATCTCTTTATACACTTTGACATTAAGAGTTTACAGGAAGAATGTGATGATCACCATAATTTTTGATATTATAATGTCCATTACCTTTGGAAAGAAATAAAAACAAGGACCTGCTCCATGGAAAGATGGGCCATCCAAAATATAACTTATTTTCTTTGTTGTCTGGTTTGCTTAATTTGTAATTATTTAAGTATTATCACAAAACTATTTTACCACAAAAGAGTATAAAGCAATTTGAAGCTCCAAGTTTACTTCTGCTTTAAATGAGTTAAAAGTAGGAGAATAATTGACATAGTTAATAGTGTAGCACTATCTTACAACCACATTTGTGATGGAACAAATCTGGATGAACGTACACACACACACACCCACACACACGCCCACACACACACATCAAGAAAAAAAATCAAATCAAACTGACCATTGTGCCTTAACAGACAGCAACAAATCGACCAGAATATGAATATAGTGCATATAAATATGTATAACTCTTTACCCACACACAAACACACACAAGATGACGACAAGAACAAGACAAAGCAACAAAAAACGGCCCAAAAATTAACAAAAATGGATTTTAAACAAATATGTTTATCAGTCATTCTTTCTCCAAGCTGCAAGTCCCCAAAAATAAGTGAATAAATAAAAATACAGAAT